ATTTATATATGTTTATGATGCATATAGATAAAGCAATATCTGATTAGAATTTGTGCCTAGATTCGATAACTTTGCCCAAAACCGTACCTGGATTTTCTTTATTTAGTATTATGGGATTAAATTCACTCGCGTTGTCTGGCATTAATATTACCTGATTATTAACATGTTAATTCTTTTTAAAGTTGCAGATTCATCGTTGTTAATTAGAACAGCAGCTATTTCTCCATCTTCAACTTCAGAAGTCTTTTTAACAAATACAATATCACCATCAGATAGTGTTGGCTCCATTGATCTGCCTTACATCTTAAGGCAAAAACAATATCACTGCTTAGACCTTTATTAAAAAACATAGGAACATATTCTTCAATATTTTGCTCTGCCAATAATGGAGAGCCACAGGCTATCGTTCCAACTAAAGGAACCTGACGCATTTCACTAGTGTTTATTGGTTTTAGATTATTAACTTTAGGAAAAAAATAATCAACACTTACATTAAATGTGTTAGCCAATTTGAATAGAAAATCCTGATTAGCTTTTCTAATTCCACTTTCGTAGCGACTAATTGTAACCCTGGAAGTATCCATACGATCTGCTAGATCCTGTTGATCCATTCCTCTGCTCTTGCGCAATTTTTTAATTCTATCCCCAATAAATTTAGAAAGATCCATTTTTTTATTCCTTTCACATTTTTAAGATATATTATAGTATAAAAAATACCAAAATGGAACATTTTTTGATTAAAACAACTTTTTTGTTGCATTTTTAAAGAAAGATGTTAATCTAAAGGTGTACCAAATCGGAACATAAAGGAGGCGAAAATATTGCAAATACTTTTATTGAAATTGAGAAAAGACAATAATCTAACTCAAGAAGATTTATCCAAGCTATTAGGCATCACCGCTAAGTCTTACGGGCAAAAGGAAGGGGAAAGATGGAATTTACGCAAGACGAAATGTTTAAGTTATCGAAGTATTTTGGTAAACCAATTACTGAGATTTTTTTACCCCGTGATTACCAAATTGGTACATTAGCAGTTAACTGATGTATAAAAAGTAAAAATCAAAAAATATCCAATTGGTTTCATTTAAGGAGAAAGCAATGCACGAATTTGCCTTAGCAATCGCAGTAATTGCGTTAGTAGTTTCAATTGTTAATTTATTAAATAGCTAGAAAGGAATGTAATGGAAAGCC